GTGATGTTGATATTGGCATTTTAGTGCATAGGTAACCATTTGAAGAAACTATTTATTTAATAATTGCTAACTTTTCCTTAATTAATAAACTCTAAATGGCTATTTTTTTATAACTAAAAAATATGATTTGAAGATAAGCAAATAAAGAAACATCCAATGAAAAAGTTTAAACTAATGTTTACATGATTTGACTAGATTTTTCCCAACCCATCTATGAGTCTATAACCTATCTATATAAAACCAAAATCGAAACAAATACCGATACCAAAATTTCTCTTCGGGCGAATCCTTCAATTTTTTGATAATAATAAAACCTAATTATTCATGCATGCAAATAACGAAACATTTTTTTCTCCTTTAATTACGTAATGCTAACTTCCGAAAAAACATAATCATCGAATAATGACCAAACATCGTATCATTAGAGAATTTTTTTTTAATAAAAAAAGAAATAAAAGAAAAGAAAAAGAGATTGCTTATTGGCTAAAATATCTTAGGAGTTTGATGAGTTAACAAGAATTGAATAATTAAGGGGAAAAAAAAAGTGGTCCAATTTTACTCATAAGCTCCATCTATGAATGAAACCACATGGTTGATGGAATTTTGATCATGGCCATCCATCCATGGAGTTGACCGGTAACTACCTCACATGATTGTCACCTCACTTTATGTAGGCCTCGTTTGGTTGGGAAAATTGGCCATTATTAACTAAATAATTGAACTTTGTTTGATGTTTGGTATCCCCAATAACTTGTCGGGTCGACCCACAGATATTATGTTATCAAGCATGTATAGAATTAGATATCACTAAATTATATAATCTTATCTTGGTTCATCTTATGTTGTCAACCAAACGAAGACTTAATCTTCTAATGTCTCGTTTGGCAATCAGGATAAGATTAGTCCATTTAAAATTAATAATCTAATGAAATTCAATTGTTTGGAAGCTTCAATAAAAATATGTCTAAAAGGCAACGTAAGGCATGACAATATAATATTTATGAATCGACCTGACGAATTATTGAGGATGTCAAACATCAAACAAAATCCAATTATTTTAATTAATCATGGGCAATTTCCCCAACCAAACGAGGCCTAATTGTACGAAAATACCCCGTGAGGTGGAAATGAAACTAAACTGAACTCAAATCCAAAATACAAGACCTAATGTTTTTCCCCCAAAATCAACTCAACTTGTTACAAATTGAAATTTGTCTCGTCACTAATGCTTCTTTTCTAGTTAGGAGCCACTAAGGGGGTAATAAAAAATTAGGATAATGTCATATCACCATACAAATCCATGTTATCACAAAAAAATTGAAAAAAGCTCCACCCCCCTACCCCCACCCCCACCCCCCACCCAACCACATGATAATTTTCACCATCAATCTATTTTTGTGTTTGAGCCCTCTCATAAACTTTGTGACCATGTCTTATTCATAACTAGTAAGCTTATTTAATCTTAAATGATCCTTATCGATGGTGCAAGATCCATCGCTACATCATCGTACGGAAAAATAAAATAAAAAATAAAATAGAAAAGGTAAAAATCACATGTGAGAGACCATCTAGTAATCAAGTGTTAATGGTGATGACCCTTTTAACATGTGCCTTAGTGCCAACCGAGAAATTAATTGCATCACGCATGATTAGGATCAACCACATTGTCCGAGATTAGACGAAGATCTCAAACAAGTGGCGAAGTAGACACGTATATTATCATTTCTTGATATAAAAACTTGTGAATACTATCGTTTTCAAGATATCGGATTTATTTTTACTGTAATCACATGATACATAATGAAAGAACCAAACTTCAGGCATTCTGTAATATATATATATATATATATATATATATATATATATATATATATATACACTGAGAGAGAGAGAGAGAGAGAGAGAGAGAGAGAGAGAGAGAGAGAGAGAGAGAGAGAAAGAGAGAGAGAGAGAGAGAGAGAGAGATTACAACATGTGGGCTGGTGCATGTGCATGAGCGCTGGTGCATGTGCATGCAAGTAGAGCATGGTGGCATCCCATCTACACCTTTTCACTTTAAAGCTTGTCTCCAATCTCCTATCGTTTTACCAAAATATGTAAATCGAAAAACACGTTATACATCAAAAATATATTTATAATATATAAATGAATTAATTGAGCTACATTTACATTTTACAGCTTCTGTCGATATTTACTGAAGATGTCCAAGAGTTGATTTCGCACTAGACACCCCCGTGACCATCTTCCACTATGTGCTGCACCCTGTAAAGAAGCACCACCAACTAGGATAAGGTGAAGAAACAAAGAATTATGTAAACGAGGACTAAACAATAGTCAATTCTTGACCTTGTTCGTATTCGACTCAATGGATCTGCCTCCATTGTTGGGAATTTTTCTCTTTAATGTCTCTTTTAGTTGACATTTTCATGAAGAAACGAGACCAAATAATGTGGACAATCTAGCTGTCGAAGATTCTCTCCACTAAACCATTTTCTGTATGCTAGATGTGCTAGCTAAAATAAATAAATAAACGAAGTCAAAGTCTAGATTTCATGAGAGTATTATTGACTGTCCAGAATAGAGAGACAAGTGCTGTATATCTTGTTAGCAATAGAGAGACAAGTAATGTAAAGAGTCTTACTACACTAAGATCCACGAGATCTCTTCATGGCATTTTAGTATCTAACTAGGTATTTTTGTCCTCGTCTAATCTTAAACCTGCAGAAAATTAATTATGCGTTATTGCAAACTTATAATTATTTTTCTCGAACTGTAGGCACATTAACCACAATAGATCAAGAAAGTTACGTGTCTGAAGAAGAGAATTTCATAACGGTCTGTGTAAGAAAGTGACTAAAAGGTTAAGAGGGCTTTTCTCAATCAACTGATGTGGGAAAAAAAATACTATGGCGAATATGAAGCATGTCGGTTATTTTGGTTATTTGATACGTTGCCTGAGACTTTTGGGACCAAAATAAATCATTTCAGCAAATAGCAAAAGAGATGTGACAATTTAAGGATAGCACTTTATTTTCTTACAAACCGTACCGCCTTTGGGTTGGGATATGAGTGTGGAAGGTGTAATATCCCATCTTTGAATGGTGAGAAGAAAAGTTAATGCTTGAAACACAATTTGCCTACGGAATAATAATTACAAAGATGGCTTGATTTGAGACTCATTTGGTGCAACAGATATTGCACATGCATGGTTCCATACGAGCATGACAATATTATTTCCATTGCAAGTCCACAGACTTCTCATCAACTAATGACTCACTTAACACGCACGTATGTAACCTGGTACTAAAAATCAAGATAACGATTTTTCGGGGATATGATGATTTTTTGACATTAGAAATGGGAACGAAAGAAATTCATGGTCACAAATTGAATTTTTCATCGTGAAAACTGTCGAGACAAAATGGCAAACGCCATAAACATGCAGATAGTTTCTTGTAGTAACACAATCAAGAGTTTTTTTTTTTTAAACAAAATGCCAAAAAAAAATCAGAATACATGAAGCGACAAACATTTATGTGATATATATGCACATAAGTCCTTTATGAACATGCATGGATGCACATAGATGATGACATACAATTTATTGTATGATGCCTATCGCATGCATATCTTGATAGAGACAATGGTATTTGATGACAACTTGCAAACATAGCTCCAAAAATAACTAACTCCAGGGTAGCATGTCCAAATGTTTTTCACTGCATAAGGTACGGTAATAGATGATGCAAAAGTGGGTGAGAGACACATTGTGTGTGTGTGTGTGTGCTTTCACAAACTGAACCTAACTAGCAAAAGAAGAAACAAACAACATTTACGGAAAGAAGGCTTCTTGCAGAAACTTTATTGGAGAAGGTACGTGCTACAGTTGACTAGAAAGAGGTTTCCCCAAGGTTCTTGGACACATACTCTCAGGTAAGCATACAATCAAGGGTCTCCGTTTTGCTGAAACACTAACTAAAATGTGACATAGACCCGAACCATTCCCTTCCATCACTATAAATGGATTATTTAAGGCAACTTGACAAAGGCATGACAAAGATATTTTTCTATCAGATAGATATCAGCCATCACGGTTATAAAACGACTTGATATATCAGCCATTAAGGTAATCGATAAATGGTAAACAGTAAAATCAACAAGCACTCCAGCAACTTTAAACAATCAAATTAAGAAGTTGAAGAAAAACAGTGCAAAATCAAATTTGGGCAACCTTTCCGCCAACATCCGTCAAGGAAGTGTGAAATCATAGATTTGAGGTGAAACGTGTTAATCGGAAAATAACCCTTAGCATAAGGTAGAACAGCTCATGCAAATACTGAAACTAATTTGGCCAGCAGAAATTGGCCAAGATAGTGGAGCAACCGAGAGCTACAAACATATAAAACATCCATGTGGTGAGAAATCATAGATTTAGGTAGGGTAACTCTCGGCAGGATTCTCGCCAGTAGCGAAACGCAGATAAGGTGCTTCTAAAACTGGCAAAATTGTCAATAATGCCAGATAGAGAGAGCCCA